AATTGGGGGAGGGGAACAGACAAGTTGCTGGCCTTTTGTTCTTCAGTCTAGTTGTGGAGGACGTTGCTTCACTGCCCCATGTTGGTATTGTGATCATTATGCTCTTCCCGGGTGAGGCAGATCGGTCGCTGGCCGCTGGATGGCCGCTCACGGCGGCTCTTGGCAGCTCACGGAAGCTCACACTGGCTGCTGGCTGCTCACAGCAGCTTATGGCAGCCCACTGCAGCTTCACTTCAGCCTACACTGTCGCTGGCAACTCACAGCAGCCCAGCTCCAAGTCGAGCTGTTGTTCAACATCTTAGCTGTCGAGGGCAGTGTCACTGGCTCCCATGTGGGATCTGAACCGGGGCCCTGCTGCTCTGAGCTGGCATCCCAAGCCAGTTCTTAACCAACATACCACTTGGCCATCCCATGAGTTCAGTTTTAAACATGTTGAGTTTAAAGACCCTCTCATGGAGATGTCTTTAAAAACATCTCATGGAGAAGTGGTGTTTCCTTTGGATGTGTAAAGCAAGCCTGAAACTGAGTGATGAGTTCTGGGCTAGTGATGTGAATTTAAGACTTAATCGGTAGAAACTATCTGACGACGAGGAAGTACATGGCTTTGCCGAAGGAGAGAGTGCACTGACAGGTAAAAAGCCCAACCATTTCTGTCATTATTACCAGCATCACCCACCACACCCACCACCACCGTCATCTTTATTTTGTAGTGTTTATGTACCACTCTAAATTATTAAAAGCTTAAAAATAATTTTTATGTTTTTATTCCCATTTAATACCATTTTATTTCATGACCTTGCCTGAGGAGATAGACTGTTAACATTTTCTTTTTTTTTTCTAACAACTGAGATATATTTAGTCCTAAAATCTAGCTTAAATGCTTGGTTCACACCTACTTTATCATTTCTTTATTTCCAGCTCCATGCTGACTGGGCTCTTTGGGGCTTCAGCCGGTACCATCTTTGTTTATGGAAAAGATATCAAAACAGACCTACACACTGTACGGAAGAACATGGGGGTCTGCATGCAGCACGACGTCTTGTTTAGTTACCTCACTACCAAGGAGCACCTTCTCTTATATGGCTCCATAAAAGTTCCTCACTGGACTAAAAAGCAGCTGCATGAGGAAGTAAAAAGGTCAGTTATGGCAGAAATGAGAATACGCACTGGTAACTTCTTTCAGAGAGAAGTCAAGCTATACTAATAATACTAATAGGAAACATTTTCTCACAAACCAACTGAGTTTTAGTTTTTCTACTTCTCTGGTATTGAATACATTTAATAGCATTATCCTCACCAGCTAGTTATACAGGGATTGTGTCAGTCTCTTCAACTCTGGCTCCCATATTGCCCCAAATCCTCTGTCTCTAATGTCTATGTTTACTATATGGTTCAAGCCTCCTAATTGGACTTCCAGTTTTTACTCTCCCTTGTACACTCTACTTTTCAAAGAGAAGCCAGGGTGACTTTTTAAACTGCAGATCAGACCATGCAATCCTGGGATCAAAACCCTCTAATGCAGCGGTTCTCAACCTTCCTAATGCCCTGACCCCTTAATACAGTTCCTCGTGTTGTGGTGACTCCCAACCATAAAATTGTTTTCGTTGCTACTCTATAACTGTAATTTTGCTACTATTATGAATCGTAATGTAAATATCTTTCTGTTTTCCAATGGTCTTAGGTGACCACCCCTGTGAAAGGGTCGTTTGACCCCCAAAGGGGTCGCAACCCACAGGTTGAGAACCACTGCTCTAATGGCTTCTTATCACACTGTGAAATTCAGTAATGTCCTTATCTAAGTCTATGAGGCCCTGCCTGACCTGCCTCCAATCTCACTTCTGATTCATTTCCTTTCACTCCCCGACATTCACTCTGCTCTAGGCACACTAGCCCAGTTGCACACTAGATTATGTTAGGCCTGCTCCAGCCTCAGAGCTTCTCACTTTCTGTTTCCTCTACTTAGAGTAGCCTTTCCCAAACAACCATTTGACTGACTCTTCCGATTTCCTGGTCTCTGATGAAATGTCACATTCCCTGAGGAGACCACCAGATACAAAATAGATGCCTAAAATAGAATGCCCCAGGCGCTACTTACCTCATGCACCTGCTTTATTTTTTATGACACTTATCACCACTTGGCATATTATAAACTTACTTGAGAATATGTTTATCAACTGAATTTTCTCTGTAGCCCTTCTGATACACACACTCATAGTAGAAATAATCTTTTTATGGATAGAAACATTATCTGTCCACTTCTTTTCGCCCAGCACCTAAAATATAGTCTGGCACAAAAACAGTAGACACTCTAAAATATTTGTCAAATGAATTAATAAAATAATGAGCCATATATGCCCTTGTGTTGTTTCCTGAGCATTAATTTTATACCTCCAATTACATGATAAATAATAGAAAACTATGTCATGAATTTTTAGCACCTTATTGCACCTTGCTGAGCATATAATGGTTTCTTGGGAATATCTATCATTTAGGGTACTTATTGTATTTTTTCAATACTCAAATGTTCTACCTGTAAAGGAAATAACCACCATATATTATTTTTTGAAGGACTTTAAAAGATACTGGACTATATAGCCATCGTCATAAAAGAGTTGGAACATTGTCAGGAGGAATGAAGAGGAAGTTATCCATATCCATAGCTCTCATTGGTGGATCAAGGGTGGTCATTTTGGATGAACCATCCACTGGAGTTGATCCATGTTCTCGCCGAAGTATATGGGATGTTATATCCAAGAACAAAACTGGTATGAGTACCTTCTTATAACTTCTCCACCCAACAGTCATAATTTTGCCTTCTGGGGTACATATAACTGAAGCCTTTCTGTTCATGATTTCCATTAAAGGTCTCAGATAGGATCTTCCTTTGCCTAAGTTTTCTCTTCTCCCAGCTAACTTTCTGGGTCACTTAGTTAATATCAATGTAGTGCCCACTGTGAATTGAGCACTTAACTGGCCTTTTTGAGAGCATGCAAATCCAGTAGCAGTTCCACATTCTGCCTAGAGGAGCTTAGAATCTAATTAGAGAAACCAAATATACACAAATGAAAATAAACTGAAAACAGACTAAATAAGTGCTAACAGGATGTGAAGCAAAGAGCAATCAGGGTGGAGTGGATTAATCAGAGAGGAATATTCAAAAATCTTTAAAATTACTGCTTCTTCATAGTGATGAAAAGAAGAGGGGAGGAAGAGATGGAAAGAAAGAGAGAGAGAGAGTGAGAGAGAGAGAGAGAGAGAGAGAGAGAGAGAGGGGGTTCCCTAAATATTTAGGAACACTCCTAAAATTTCTCTTTGATCCTTTTGGAAGCTCCTTCAGGTTAGTTTTTCTGTTAGCTCATAAAATGTGAGTCTTCTCATAAATCACAGGACTTGTTTGTGCTGACTCTAAGATCTTGGGCACTGTATTTTCCTTTTCACTCTTGGTTCTTCGCCTCT